AGGACTGTGTTATGACTGTGCCTCACCAACACACTTGGGTTCAAATCCCAATTATGTAATCTTATATTTTTATTATTTTATTTTTATACTTTTATGCTTTAAGTAATTCCACGGAATTACTTAAGTATTCACCTCTGTATTAATATTCATATTTTATATACTTACAGTCTGAAATCTTAATCATCTCTCTATACACTGTAATTAGAGAGATGACATCATTCTTTCTCCTTTGAGCTTGAATGACATCATTTCCTCCACTTTTGGTTTAAATCTTAATTTAAATACATATTTTGATCATTTATGATTATTTACATAAATGATCCTCTGCAGGCCTCACCGGTCTCACAGGCAGGTTGACCCCTGCCTTTGTAATACTTAAGGGGGAGGTCTTCTTCCCAAGAACCCTCCCCCCAGAGATTACCATACAAACCCGTCTACCTTACAATAAAACTGTGAGTGGGGTTTTACAATCTACTATTAAAACCTTCTAAGAACCTTCCCCCTATCTTCTATTCCGTACCAACCATCCTAGACTACTGTAAAGTCACTACAGTAGCCTAGAAGAGAGACTACTTAGCTCTAAGCCCGGCGACGTGACGCTCATACCGCGTACGTCCCCTTACTAAGGGTGCTTAACCCCTCCGCTTACTAGCGTCGAGGTGAGGTTCCATTTCTACTGGCTTTCTCAAGAAAGCTATAGTACAACCCTTCCACCCCATCAACGCCTAGTCACTCTAGAGACCGGCACTGACAATTGTTATGGCTGTCACTTGTATATAATCTGTAATGTGGGTTGAGATGATCTGGTCCTCTGGTGAGATGATGAAAGGTACAACTGGCAGGCAGAAGCCTCCTTATATAGACAAAAGTGAGGGATTTTAGCTCCAGGGTACATGCAGGTGAGGGATTTTAGCTGGCCTGTAAATAAAATGAGGGATTTTAGCTATTCTAGTACATTCAGGTGAGGGAATGTGGCTGGTGAGAGCACTGCTGTCAACCTTTGAGACATGTTGACATGTCCTAAAGGTTTCACAAAACAATCAAAACAAATAAAAATTAATAAAATTGAAAATAATGAAGATTTCACGTACATGTTAGAGGTTTCACAGATATGTGATCTCTTGAAATTAAGATTAATCAAGGAAAACCAAATCCCTTGAATATTGAAAGCAATCTTCAAAAGAATGACTTCAGCCTTGCAAGATGATCAAATCAAAATTAAGATTAATCAAGGAAAACCAAATCCCTTGAATATTGAAAGCAATCTTCAAAAGAATGACTTCAGCCTTGCAAGATGATCAAATCAAGGCAATGCAAACAACAACAAAATTTAGAAGAAGGACTAGTACAAAGTATTCAACACCTGATACCGGAATAGTCCTTCCTCCCCCCTCAGCAATAAAATTATTCTTACCTCTCATAATTACTTTGAGACACCGAAAAAATTAAAAGGTAATTACTTAGTATAACTCATCAGAATATAACCCTTTCTGAATGTCTTATTCTATCTAAACCTCTTACCACTGAGTGTCTATATAATTAATTTTGAGATAAGTAATTTTGATTGACTCTTGTTTTATTCTCACTATCCCCAGATCAACCTTAACTGCTATTTCCAAGACTGCTACTCTTCCACCTTTGAGATATCACTTTGGATCCTCTGAAGTAAGTAACTATCATCTCTGATTTAGAATAGAGAAATCTTATCATATTGTGTTTCTTTCTTCTCATTTCTACTCTACTCATTCTTACTTCTCACACAAAAAAAATCAATCCTAATTTATAAACATCAAAAAAAAATACAAATAAACTATATAAAATTAAATGAATGACCGGGTTTGATCTTAATAACCCTTCCATGTCTCTTGACTGGATAAAAAATCATCACTATCATTATATTTGATTGATCCTATCCTTACCTTTAAGGATAGAGGCCTAGGTGTTTCTTTACCGGCTATAAATATTCTCCAAGAATATAAGCAACCTCAAATATACAAATAAAAAAAGAATAATCCTTTCTTCTTGTTTTTCCTTCTATCTCATTGTATTTAGTCTCATCTTTAGTAGTAATAAACTTTATTACTCTAATCCTTGTCCAGCTGAATCTCTACGCGAGATCAATAGCTGACAACTGCCTTGAGGGAATTTGGCTAGCCTACAAGGTCCTACTACAAAGGAATGCATGTGCACCTACAAAGGAATTCAATATGAAATATAAGCCAGTAAAGGAATTCAATATGAAACAAAGGAATTCAATATTACATATGCATCCAGTATTCAAAATGAGACGTGGTCAGGATAATAATAAAGAAAAGCTCCTGTGACAGCTTGAGATAAGTGTAACTTCTGAACTAGTAGAGATAAGAGGGTAGTTGTAGTGAGTGAGTAGGGGTTATGTTACCTGAGGAATCCATTTTTGATGTTATTTTGAGCCTATCTTTAATATTTAGAGAGATAATAATAAATTTTTATATTTCTTTGGCGTAGAAACACAGGAATAATTACCACAATATATAGGATGATATAGGCACTTGCGACCAACCTCCAATCCACCTATCACAGAGGGATATTTTGATACTTCATACCCTCTTGCACTACACATATCTCCCGATCATACCTTATTTTTATATACAACACACCCCACCAAAATTGTACCACCATTGAACCAATCCACAAATGGCTGGCAATCAAGATCCGGACAACAATGAAAACTTGGATGAGGAAAACATTGAGTTGTCTCTACTTCACTTCAATTGCACTATCTATGCTCATTGTTCCATTTTGGATAAAACCTCCCCAACAGTTGATTCTGACCTTGATCCGACAACTACAAAAAAGAAGAAAGCACCCAACTACATGGAGCCCAAGGACTTCAAACTATGTCAAGCTTGGATTTGAATAAGTGAGGATCCCGCAATCGGAACTCACCAGGACAGAATACTTTCTGGCAGCGGGTCACAGCGGCTTACCACAAAGTAATTTCTAGTCCCCAACGGCCTGTCAATGGGACCAAAAAACAATGGGGGCTCTTGCAACGCATGATCAACAAATTCTGAGGATTTGTTGATCAATGTGATCAATTCACCCAAAGTGGAGCAAACACTGAGGATCAACTCAACCGCGCTCTTTGATTGTACTCCCAGGATCAGAACAGTCACTTCAAGCATCTTCGGGCCTACAATATGCTTGTCAAATGTCCCAAGTGGAACTTGTATACTCAAGAAAACAAGAGCAAGGTAGCTGCTAAGAAAAAATAACCAAGGAGCCCCATCAACTGTGATGGATGACTCAACCCCTGGACCCTTGGATGCGGTCTCGGACTTTGAGGGGACCACTGATGAAGTTGCTACAATCGGTCGGCCTATAGGAAAGAAAAAGGCAAAGTTGGCACACCAACTTGCCATAAAAGACACTGCCTGGAAGGAAGACATTGCTTGAGCTCATGGCTGGCTGACTTGCGTTGCAATCCAAGCAGAACAATGACATTCTCAATACCAACTCCAGATCCCTCCAAATTATTGCACAAAACGGTTCAACCGCTGCTCAGATTGCCATCATGAACAAGGACCTCAATGACCTTGACAATGAGCAAAAGGAGTTCTATAAGCTCAAACAAGGCGAGATTCTCTGGTCCCTCCAATCCCCCACCAAGACTAGCTCAACTCAAAGTCAAAACTAGATTGCTTCAATTCCCACTTGATCACTCATCAATCTGTCAATCAATTGAACAATCTTTCAATCGATCAACAAATGAAATTTCTCCTCTTTTTTTTATTCATTTATCTCACTGGCTTGCTTTTGTCCTATAGATCAATCAATTTATTGGTTGATTTTTTCTCTCTTCAATCAATTGATCAATCACTTGATTCATTTCTCTTGCGCGCTTGCTTTTATCCTGTAGATCAATCAATTGATTGTTTTCTTTTTTTTCTCTTTGATTGTTAAATCAATCAATCAATTGAATCTCGATCAATCAATCAATCAATCAATCAATCAATTCCTCTTCTCTTCATCTGTAAGGCAATAATTCAATCGCCATCAAAGAAAATATGATTTGAATGACAAAGAAAAGATGTTATTCAATTGTGATAAAGAGAGATAGATTAAACATTGTCACAAACCTCGCGGCCCTTGATCTCCCATTGATGCTTGATGAGATTGCTCCACAATTGATGATGAGTTGCCTTGTTCTTCATTGAACTGAAGTTTTCTAAGAATTCCAAAAATGAGATCCTCCCCTCTCTTGTAATCCCAACCGGAGTGATTACTGCTGAAGCATGATTGTCGTAGGTGTACAACATAAAAGTATCTCTCTCATCCTCCACTATCATATTGTGGAGGATGATACAACACTTCATTATGCTTGATAAGTCATGATGTTTCCATCCTCGGGCTGGGCCCAAGACTATTTCAAACCAAGCTTGAAGCACACCAAAGGCTTGTTCAAAATCCTTTTGTCTGGCTTCTTGCATCTTGAGGAAGTGCCTCTCATCCAATCCTTCAGGTTGTGACAGAGGTTTCACAAATGTAAACCAGTCGGGGTATATGCTGTCCGCAAGGTAATATCCCTGCTTGTAGGTGTGACCATTTATGACATATTCACACTGTGGTGCCTCAACATTCAGCAGATTCTTGAAGACTGGTGAGGAGTCCAAAACATTTATTTCATTGTGTGATCCTGGCATGCCATATCCACAAATCCTGTGATTCAACCGCCTTCAAAATGACTGTCAGGGTCTGTTCATTACCAAGCAATCCCAGATACATCAAAAAAAAATTTACCAAAGGAAGCAATAGAAAAATGAATCACTAAATTTCTCTTTTCCTTGAAACTGCCCAGCCCAGCCGGATGGGCAGTTCTTCCACTTCCAGTGCATACAGTCAAGTGAGCCCAACATCCCTGGGAATCCTTGTCTGGTACCAATTGTGAGTGGTCTTTCCAAGTTGGCTACGGTTGGGTGGCAAAGATATTCAGAAGCATAGATAGCCACGATTGCATTTCAGAATTGATCCATTCTCTCCAGCGAGGTGGTCTCTGATATTTGTAGAGCCCCGTTGTTGCAATCAGCAGCGCCCCCGTAGGAAAGTATCCGCAATGCAGCCGTAATCTTTGTAATAGGCCTCAGACCCATTCTGCCACAAGCATCTGGCTTCTGCCAAAAGTAGTCATCCTGTTGTTCAACGGCCTCAGCAATCTTCAAGAATAACAATTGAGACATTCAGAACTGGGGTCGGAATATTTTATCATCATATAGAGGAACTGGTTGTAGAGTTGTTGATAACTACCCTCTGTTGGGATAGTGTCCTAGTATCCCTATAGTGTGGTATGCTTCTACTCTTTACAACCACAACTCAGCCTGTATTCTGTATCTAAATAGTCTAGTTGTTCTTGTGTTTGTTCTCCTTCCTTACTGAATGATTATTACTACTTGACTCTACGTGCTCGGACCATGTCCTTGACCTCGCGTCAACTCTCTTAGCTCTCATGTCACCCCAGTTACCCTCAACACCCTCAAAGTCCCGGGGTTGATTTGGCCGTTTTCATGGTCTTGATCCTCCATGCACAGGTTGATTCTCATCAGCATCCATGTCTTCATCAAGCAACAGTGGTGTAACCTCCAGAACCGTGTTGATTTCCATCTTCTTCCTGGAAAGAAGTTTCCATTGCCGTAGAATAAAATGAAGTAAAACGGGATTGATTTCCATGGCTTCTTGTGAGTTTATTGTGAACCTTGTCTATCAGATTTCTTGTGATCACATCTACCAAGGTCTGGTCTATCTAGGGGGGATTGGGGGAAATAGGGGAACACCCTTTCACAGTCTTAGATTCCAATTTTAGGACCTACCGGTGTGAGAGGGCCTTTGGGCGGGGAGCTAAATGCACGCCACAGTCGCGCGAGGTCAATATTTAGGGACTTGGGTACTCCCCAACAGTGGAGATGGTCTCAATGGCGACGGGAAGTCCTTCATTCTCTCCAAAAAAAATTCTTTCTTTTTTTCCATTTCTCAAAAGAGGAACCAAAAGAAATAAACTCCATGCACAAAAACCTGGGAAAAAACACACGTGACACCCCATTTCTTTCCCAAACAACTTTAGTTCCCTTAAAATCCAATATTGCTGTAGTCCTCATTGAATAAATTATGACTAGCCAATGAACTTGTCCAAAGTAAAAGAAATCTCTTGATCATAGACATTCAACTGTGTGTTCTCAAGGTAAAAATCCTGACTGGTCCAGGACCCAGGTAACCAGGTTCAGGGTGACTGGGATTTTTGCCAGATTGATATATGAAGAATTGATGGATTTTGGCTGTTCTATTTCTAGACTCTAGTACCCCATGATCAGCTCCTTTTCCATAACTATCGCCAATATTCAAGGATGGTACTTGTCCACTGTTGTTTTTTTCTTTGCCAAGGACTGTTTTTACATGAACAGTTAAAAGCTGCCTCAACTAGGTTCATGTCAGTAAATAAAATGTGTATGGTGCTGGCTGCTCAGGCATAGGACAAGAGAAAGACTATAAATGTGGTGCATTTGGAACTCATTGGAAACCATTTAGCCATTTGTATCTTGATCCAACATGTTTTATTACCCAGCCTCATTCATATTTGAGTTAATTTGCAGTAAACTAACATTGTGGAACTCATGTAAAATTTCCCTGTCCAATCCCATTATAAGCTACAGTGTTAGTCCTGGATTTAATCAGATGGCTGTGACACAGGTACCCTTCCTTGCAATTAAAGATATTTCATGAAACTGTGAGCTCATTTCACGTGGCGCAGCCACCATTTCCTTAGACTTTTGATTACAAGAGATCCACACAGGAGGGCTCACACAACTTGTCAAGTTGTAAGCAGTCCATAAGAAGAACAGCATGTTTGATAGTGGCTACATCTCAACGTAGAGTCTTCTTTAGTTGCCTCAAGAACTCAAACTAATTTTTGTTTGATCATCTCAGAAGGGGTACGCGCTTAAATGCTTCGTTGACTTCATTGTCCAGCAATAGTTCATTTTTCTAAAACTAAACAGTGGCAGGAGACTTCAAAAATATATATATATAATGATGGCAACGAGTGAGAAAGAATGAAATATGAATATTCAGGAAAGGCATGTTAAAGTGTTTTGAATTTTTTAATAGCTGAAATCAATCAGATGTTGTAGGGCCCATACTATCAGTTTCTTTGCCTCCATCCTTGACTAGGCCCGACTCTTCGTTCTTCAATTTCAAAAAGGTCGAAGCTTCAGATGTTTCGCTGGGGGCGTCTTTTTCGTTCGGGCTTTCAGGTTTGAGAATGTCGAAGGCTTTCTTTGCGCCATTGAGTACGGTAGAAACTTTCGACGACTTCTCCTTCTCATCGTCATCCTTTTTTTCCGGTTTCGTTTGATCGGCCGCCGCCTCAGATGGTCGATAGGGCTGCCCCGGACGAATTTCGGGTGCCTCGTTTTTCTTGCTCATCGGGCTTGCGCTCGTCTTACTGGCTGACGTTTTGATCGTATCGGGGTGAGTCTTGGGTATTTGGGCTCCAGGAAGCGCGTCAGGTATAGTCTTGGTAGCGGCGGCGGAGCTCGGATCGAAGTCTTTTGATGGCCCTTTGAAAGCTACCTTTTGAGGCACACTTTTCCCCGGGGATCCGATCTTCAAGCCCTTAGCGAGTTTACTAACAAGCGAAGAACTACCGCGTCTCTGTATCCTCATAGGCATGGATTCGCTGCGAGTCAGGCCGACCCGATTTACTTCAGGCGCCTGCAAAGAGTGAATAGGATAATGGAATACGAGATTTATCAATCAACTGACATAACTTTAGCCTCCAGGCTTAAAAGATGACTATCTGTCTAGTGACACTTACGTTTCCCTGTCCGTTTACTCTGAAAATCAGAAGCGTGAAGGTTGCTAGGAGGAAGAAGAAGAATTGCATCTTGATGTGGATATAGATATTTATAATTTTAAGTTGAACAAAAGACAGCTGAATTTGAATGAGAAGAGGCTACGAAAAATTTACTTGAGGCTGGAGAAGTAAGGATGGAGAGAGTGAATGTTCGAGTGGGCTTTAAGCTACGGCCGCTTAACAGGTCTCGCGTAAGCAAGTAGCTGAGTATTAAGACTCAGCCCGTCATCAATTGGCCCCACCTAGGTGCGATAGACATAACAAAGGAAAATTCATCCCGCACTTTAGAAACATTTGGACTCTGTGGTCGCCAGGTCAAGCTGAATATCTTCGGAGAAGATGCATACTCCATAGCACTAACCAGCAACAATCTTGAATACATACACTAAGCAAACTACGAGTGGTAGTCCTCACAAAGCTGGCCCAGTATGAAGGAGCTTACGCTGAGTCATTGGAGAGCGTTAATGGAGCAACAACGCAAACTCATACGCTACTTGCAATATACTGATTCTAGAAATCTCGGTAACCAGGCAAATGTTGCACCGGTTGCAACTTGCTGTCCAGATTTCAAACCTGCCAACTTCCAAGTGACATTCCATGGTCTTCAGTACCACATCCATGGAGCCGTACTTATTTATATGTATGCGTGCCCATCGATAACTTCTCGGCATTCATTGTTTTGTCGATCGCCAGGGCAAAAAAGTCATCCTTTGGTCGCGCGGATGACAACACCAAGCGGCCTGGGGTCAAAGTGCTCAAAGGAATACCCACAGGGCCCTTCTTCATTCAAAATCACAATTCAAAATTGCGCTTCAATCGAATTCACAACGACGTTGGTCAGGTGGATAGACTGAAATTCCAGGATGCAAGTGAGAGGGGTCGACCCGCTAAAGATCCGCGACCGATTAACAAATCAAAATTCTGATCCGACCTGCAGCGACCCATTCATTTTACGGGTCGGGTTGGGGCACCAATTTTCCATCTCGGCTCGACCCGCCACTCCACTTGCTTGAAATGCCGGCTGTTTACTAAGACTAAGGATGAGAATCGGGCAGACGGGCCGCCCGTGGGCCGGCCCGCTCCGGGCTCAACATTGTCGGGCAGGTCAGGCCGGGCCACATTCAGGAAATCAGCAGCCCAACCCGGACCCAATTAACAATTGGGCTGCCCGCGGCCAGCTCTTTGGAGCTGAATCTGGGCTTCACACGGGCTGAGCCGGGCCGCCCGGGGGCAGCCCACGGGCTTGGGGTCTCCAAAAGACTGGATTAAGGGATGGTCCCAAACCTTGGGATTCCGGGGCTGCCCTGGTCCCAAGCCCCGGGGTTCCGGAATTGGGATGGGCCTCACAAAACCCCAAAACCCCAGGGTTCATTGTTTACAGGGATTTTCCCTGATTTTTCCTTGTTTTGGCGTGTATAACAGTTTTTTTTTTCATTTTCACATGTGGGATTCATTGAAAAAGAAAAAAAAGGTTGCAATGGGCCATCAAAGGCCAAAAAACAAAAACCAATCTCAACACAGCACTTGTGGTTGAGACAGCTGGGTAGTGCTGGGCCGTAGTGCCATCATTGATTCAGGAAAAAAAATTGCAGCAAGCCCCTGGGCTTTGGGGCAGACCCGGAATTCCCGGGGTTCGTTCCTTGGGATGACCCTCTAGCCCCGTCCCAAACCCCGGGACCATGCCTTAGACTGGATGGAAAGAAAAACACAAACCAGAGGTCTGATACTGACTTATCACCAGTTGGACCTGACCAAGCGCTAGGACGCCACTGCACCGGCCCAACGGGTGCCTGACGGGCAGCCTGAGTGACCTTTATTTGGGTCAACTCAGGCCGGGCCTAAGTAAGAAATTCTATCAAAAGATTGGCCCAAACAGGAGGCCCGTTGGACACCCAGCCCAATTATCATCCTTACTGTTTACTGAAATGCATTGACACTAGGGATGCAAATGGGTCGGGCTGACCCAACTCAGACCCAAGGCCCGTTGTGGTGTTCTAAATGGTACAGGCCCCCTCAAGGTCAAATTTCAAATTTCAAATTTCAACTTTTTAATATCCTCAAGCCTCAAGATTTCAAAATATCACCTCAAATCCCCTCTCAGTCCAACAGTTTCCTTCATTATATTATTTTACTATGTTTTTGTTTCATTTTATTATTTCACTTCCTCTGATTATTTTATCTTCATGTTTTTTCATTCATCTTGATTTTATTTTTATTTTATCATTTTATCATTCTTTATTATCTTTTTCAAATCACCTACTCAGAAGACAGTCTTGTTTAATTTTCTTGGTCCTAAGACATCTTAGTATGTTGGTTTATTTCACTCTTGATTGTTTTGTTTTGTTTTGTTTTGTTTTGTTTTGTTTTGTTTTGTTTTGTTTTGTTTTGTTTTGTTTTGTTTTGTTTTGTTTTGTTTTGTTCTGTTTTGTTTTGTTTTGTTTTGTTTTGTTTTGTTTTGTTTTGTTTTGTTTTGTTTTGTTTTGTTTTGTTTTGTTTTGTTCTGTGTTGTGTTGTGTAGTGTGGTCTTGATTTTGTTTTTTGGTTGAGTTGAGTTGTAGTTAGGGATGTGATGACATGTCTGTGACATGTCACTCCCCGGATTCAAAGTTCAGTTTGAACTGAGATGATGGGGAAGCATGGCACTCTGATCTGATCCAAGATAGACCCATCAAATATTATTGATCTTTTTATCATTGATTCATCTGATCCTCATGCTCACCTTCACAGATCCTCAACCTCAACAACTGCCACAGAAATCAATTTCTGTTGTCCCCTCTCAGAAAACCAACCAACCCCAACACATTTTGTTCAGATCACAGCTCAATTTATCTGGACCCCACTTGAAGGCAGCCCTCAAAGCACCATCCCTTCAACCAACTGCCTACCGCCTGGCACGATAGGAGTTCCACACCTTTGGGTCATGAGTTGGGTTTGGGTATAGTTTGAGAAAAAAACCCTATGACCAAAACCCAACCCAGAAACTTAGCAAGTTGGGTTTGGGAAGCCAATATTGTTAATCAGGCAAGTAATTTTGACCATTTGTACTCTACATACACTCTAAAACTCAGGTCAGCCGAAACCCAAGAAGTCCCAAGATGAGTTCAGGTTTGGCAGCAAAAATTCAATTTTGACCCAACCCAACATAAGTGTGGGGTCAGGTTTGGGCGCTATTTACATCCCTAATTGACACAGATGGATAAAATGTTGGGGAGACCCAAGACCCAACCCCAACTCAAGTGTTTCCTGACCAGGGTTGGGTTGGGTCAGTAATACTGAGAATTTGACCCAAACCTACCCATCCCAGCCTGAAGTGCAGGTTGGGTTCAGCCTCAGAGCATATCCAGGATCCAGGAGAGTGGGGGTGGATTGGCCTGGTTTTGGCAGGCTCACCCCAACTGGAGGAGAAGTATCCAGCCTGGCCAACCATATTTTTAGTAATAGCAGGTCTCCTCCAATTTGATCAAGCACCTCCTATATTACAACAGAAAAAGCCAGAGGTACTTTGGTTACCTTTGAGGTCTTCTGGATCCATACAAACCCCTTGATCACTGTTTGACAGGCTAAAGATATGTAGTACTGGTTGAGCCTCATCAAAAAATTTCAAACTAGCCCAATAGACCTCAACTCTTCTGGAGATGCTCTCAGGCATCATTTGTTCACCCAAAGCCATCCCAGTTGCATCCTGAGGTGAACTCTGTCAAGTTTACATAATCTTGGACAGGCTTACGAGGTCCAAGACACAACTGAAAGGAGTTCAATTCTGAATATATCTTGGAAAAGTTATTCTAATGTTGTTGCATAGTCATACCTATCATAAATCCAATAATTCTCCCCAGGTGTATTCATCTCCTTTATTATATTAGTGTCCTGTCCATTTTTTCCAGGCAGTATCCAGGACCCATATAAGGCCCTAGTAGTAAGTAATGGACAACCTACAGGAGTCCAGTGAGGACTGAGATCCTGGAGCTCAATTTCATTTTTTTTTCTTTTGTAAAATTAGGTAACACATTAGCGGGGTTCACATTTGGATTTTTCCAGATGCAAGTTGAGTGAGCCTCAGAAACCCATAAAATAAGCCTTTTAAGCATTTTTTGTAACTCACTTCACCAGCAGGTGACCAATCAAGTTGAGGACCTCAGGATCTTTTCTTTGGGTCATGTACAACACTTCAGCAACATGTAGGTCTTGCTAAGTTGAGTTGTTGTGTCCAGAGGGTGATCAGCAAGTTCTCAATTTTACAATAAAAGGAAGTGACCAGAACAAATTTTAAGTCGGGTCAGAAGCAAAAAAATTCAAATGTGAACCCCGCTATTGGTTGCCCTTCAAAATCATATACATGGAAAGGCCTTTCAAATATGTTTCTGGAGAGAAAAAAGTGCGTGCACATGCATTTCAGTTGAAACAAGATATGTCAGGATGCATACCTTCTACAGAAAAAATAAAACCACAGGTGTCACTAATAAAACAAGTCACAATCACATAAACTGAAGCGACTCAGGTGTCTGATAATATCCAAATGGGCCTTTCAACATCATTTCCTCTTGAAATAGTTTTCTGAGTCCTGAAAAAAAACACAATTCCACAGAGCATCCACCAAAAATGTTTTTTTCTGGCTCAAAAATATACAAATCTGGTTGAACATGGTTGAATACTTCATCCTTGCCCCAGACAAGTTCCCAGGTTTGTTTTAACATTTTCAGGGGTTTGAAGATGAGAATGAGAAGTACCTCAGTTTCCAGGGCCAAAAGCTTCATGCATAGATACATGTTTGGATGCATCCCCTGCTTATATGAATAGATATTGTGTCTTACCTAATGTCACAGTGCACCAACTACAGGATCTGAACCTTTTACATGAACCATACCCACCAGACTGACATATGCCAACCTTGTAACCAGATTAGCTATATTAAGTTCAACGTGTTCCAAAGATTAAGCTACAAATTTCACTGAAAACTAAAATTCAATTTTTTTATGAACTCTTTGCAGCTTCCAGACTCAAACTTGCCTTTCTTCTCTTAAAAATGCAAATTTGTCCTTACTTACAATGGACCGATTGGGTGATTCAAATCTGTTGCATATTTTCAAAAATTTCTTCTATAAACACATTCAATGTGAGAACAAATGATTGGCAGAAAGGTAAGATCCAAGGGCATCAATTTTCAGAAGAAGAGCACATTCAGGCTTTATTGGAATTCCCCACTCCTAGAATTTTTCCAGAAGAGTTGGAACTGTCATTGGGAGAGTTTCATGATCAAGGAAACAATTACCTCTTTCAAAGGGAAGTTCCGGAAGATCCAGACAGCCAACATGATCCTTTACTCTTGCCTTTCAGAAAGAGTTCATCATCTAAATCGGAAAATCAAGAAATCCAAATGGATTTCAATCATAGAGATTTTTCCAAATCTGTCCCAGATTTGAACGCTCAATTTCCATCAAAAAATGGGCTTTCAGATCCTGAGGAGTTGTCTACCAGTGAGTGGCTTTAACATATTCTGTTTATCAGTACACAAGTTTGCAAACTATGATTGATATAAATTTTGAATTTTCATCTGAACTAAAAACCCCTGGAGGTTTTTCAGCCCATGATAAAATAAAACAGGACGATCACAAATCTGTCAGAACACCCAGTACCAAGGAAAGATTGAACCCACATAAAAGAAAAAGTATGTGTGGAAGTGATGAAAAACCAAGTGAGTGAATTTCAGAGGGATGATGCCTGATTCAAGTGCAATCACATTGACTGAAGCATGTCCCCCCAGTAGTTGTTTGTCCATCAAAAAGTGAAAAGACCTTGATTCCTTCAGTTGAAGGCATGATTTCAGAGTTGCCCAAAGCCAATCCATTGGATCTATCACTGAAGAGTCAGGAGAATGAACCCGGTTCTAAAATTACTGATTGTGTTTCAATCCAGGGATATCATTCTGTACCTCTCCTAAAGAGACATCATGCCAGATTCAAAAAAAAACTTCATTCATATCAGAAGATAATCACACCAGGTTCTGAATGTATTGATCATCACCCAAAATTACCAGTCAGAATGTATCCTCAAACAGAAAACTCTGCTCAGGTTTTGCTCACCGTCCAACAAGTTTCCAAAGAGTTTTATCGCTCATTTTCAATTTTGTTGGGGTCCTACAATCTTCTGATCAAATGGATCTTTGTGCTTCATGAAAAAATGATGAACAACTTTGAGATTCCAGTACACATTTATAGAGTCTATCAGGAAGAGCTTCTGACTTGGTTGGACAATCAAATCTCTCCTTCTCATGCGGAATCTGATCCTAAGCTTCCAGTCATTGGTATCAGTGAATTACCAGGTCGGGTGTGGCCAGATAGTCTCCATTATGGAGAAGCTCAGTTGAAATTGGTAAATTACTTCTACAACGCTTCAAGAGAGGATCATTTTTTGCATTCCACTGCCAATGATCTCTTGGATATCTTTATTAATACTACACATCCAAGTGAGTGTTTATGTATGTTTCTTCAAAATTGAGATGATTTGATTGATTTCTGATATGTCAAACCATTCTCCAAATGTGTTTAACTTCCAATCCAATCCATTTTTTTTTTTTTTGCTTTATACTCAAGTCTGGTTAAATCAAAAGACTTCAGTAAATTTTAACCCTGAGACTGATGTTGTGGATGCTTTGAACAGAGTTTTACCATCCCAAACGTTCCAAAATAACAGGAACTTCATATCCAGACTGATCAAAGAGACCAGTTTATTTGACAAGATTTTCCGGCTGGTACGATTGACCCATCGCCAGGAAAACCTATCCATTAAACTGCTCAACGAATTCAAGCGTCAATATAAACGGACGAGTTTCAGGAACATGAATCAAATTGTGCATCCCAAGTTACCGATAGCAACGTACTTTTTAGTCCAATATCCAGAGCATAAAGTCATGCATATTTTGCGACATGATAAGTCCAACAGGTCGATGCAACATGAAGATGTTTTCCAAAAGCTGAAGAAGTTGATGATTGCAATCAACTGTATCCACATGAAATCGTTCGCTTACTTTGGGATCAAGGAAGCAGGATTTGATGCGAGTTGTGAAACCCTTGACAGATGGTTGATCAGCCTTATCCTCAAGGCTCCAGGAGGTATTCCAATCCTGGGATCAATCAAAACAGAGGGAGAGCTTGCACCTTGGGAAGAAAGTGCTCATCCTAATTTGTTCAGTTTTGTTCAATTACACTTGATCAAATACTTTCATGAGAAACAAAGCCCTCATAATCTGAAAGAAACTGCTTTGCATGTGCTCAATAGTTGGTATGAAGAGCATTACCCTATCAGATTTCAAACTTTAATTCAATCTACCTTGTCTTCAAAGCTACTTTCAACTCATGCACCTTGATCTTTCCTGATTGGGGAGTAAGGCTGAGTTAGTGATTCCTTTATAATATCCTTTTTTTTTCTCTGCCTCCCTAGAATTCCCAGAAGGAAAATAACCAGTTCAGAGTGAATTATTAAGGGTGTCTTGGGATTGCAACGTCAAAGAATGGATTAATGATCACACCAGATCTTGTGCAAGAATCATGACAAAACCCAGAAAGAAAATGCAACAAACCTAAACTCTAGTCACAGAAAAAAAAGTGTAATTCTGAAATGATTGAAAAAAAAAAAAAAAAAAAAAACAGAAAGATATTGAAGTGATTGAGTGTTAATTTTGGAAAGATCAGAATGATCACTAAGAATAAACTGTTTTTTGTTTAAAAAAAAAGCAACTGAATGTGTCTGCTATATGCATCCTCACTTACTCACCCAGACCAAAAAAAGAACATGAAGGAGGGCAAGATCTATTTGATGAAAAAAGTAAAACATATGTACATATGTATTCATAAACATGAGAGACGATAAAAACACATCTCTCTCTCTTTTTTTTTGAATTGCGAATTGAGTGTGTGTGTGTGTGTGTAATGTGTTGTAGATCGGAGTGGCGGATGGATCAGTAGTATGTTGGAGTTGTGGGGAGGTGAAACGAAGGGTATTAAGAGAATCGTTTGATGACTATAAGAGCAAACATTCCCCCCCCCCCCAAACAAAAACACACCAGAAACAACAGAAAAAAAAAAGAATCCTTGATGAATAGGTATTTTTTCCAAGAAGATTTTAAAAGAAAAAAAAGGAAGAGAGAAGACGAACCTTTGTTAGTAGCATATCTGAGGCTTTTGATCGGGCCAGCAGAGAGGATGCCTTTCGCGGATTGATAGAGCGACGGTTTCGCGACGATCTGAATGAGGGCAGATTGAATGACCTGTCGGAGCTTCTGATCGGCTGCGATTCTCGTCCATATCTCGAGTTCATCGGAGGAGGAGGAAGTAGTGGGGGAAATGAGGGAGTCAGGATGATGATGCTGATGAATAGCGAAGGCGCGATCCAAGTTCCAGCGTTGGTCGTAGATGGCACGGATGCGATCTTTGAGGCCGAGGGGCAGTTTGAGCAAGAGCTGAGCACGGCCGGCTGGCGAGGGGTCTTGGTGGAAGACTCTGAGTGAGTAGCTCGTCGGGTCCTGGGATACGGGATGGAGGTGGGCGTTGAGGGCGTTGAGGAGGGGCCGATAGAGGATGCGGAAGAGCTCGAGCTGGCGGCCGACGATGTTGGCGACCTTGGCCGGGTTCTCAGCCCATCGCATCCGCACGTCGCCCGTGTAGCTCAGCCCCGCAATCGTCCGGTACAGCCCCTCCTCCTCAAATCGTTCCGGTAACAGCAGCAGCGCCGTCCGCAGGGCCGAGGATAGATTCACTTGTTGCGCTAGTCGCACGCGCCCATCGTCTCGTAGGATGTGCGTCGGCTTGTGCATCCGGCCCGACAGATATAAGCTGTTCCAATCCAGTAGATCGTCGCATAAACTGTCTATCGAGACGACGCCATACTTGATCATCTGTTTTTTTTTTTTTGGGGGGGGGGGGGATGAGGAAGATGATTATCGGATGGTTACTTCCTCATCGAATCTCTAGTCTTTCTCTATTACAAAGTATGCACTTATATCAGGAGAAGGCAGAAAGAAAGAAAAAAAGAATCCAGAAAGAAAAAAAAAATCAACAGACTCTATTGTGAATTTTTGTTTCGACATTGAACCAGACACCAGCGCCAGGGCCCCGTTCCTGAAGCCAAGAGATCGCGGGAGATCCCAGGAGTCTAGCGGGAAGAGAGTAATGGTGGGGATGATGGTGCAAGTTGATGCTATGCCAATGGCTAGGATGGGTGACTGCGAAGATGAAGTCGAGCATGGGTTGTTGCTGTTGTTTTTGATATGAGTTTTGTGGGAAGACGGCTGATCCGTATGCCAGTGCATATCTGATCGGAGGTTTGAATGAGTTGATGATCGAGTTGAGTTCGGTTGATAGTTGGTCTGATTGGAGTGGGATGAGTTGGTTCTTTGCGAATGATGGTTGTTGTGCTATCCTTGAGATGGTTGAGGTTGAGGTTGAAGTTGTTTTGGTTGAGATGGTTCTGGTGAGTTGTCTGATGACCATGGTGGTGGTTGCTGATCAGTTTTACTGTTTTCATTCAAACTAAGCCAAACCCAACTGAAAGATGACCACCACCACCACCAACGATCACCTGCTCAGAGTCCTCACCCTCACCCTCGTCAGACACGGCGAATCAACCGACAACATCATCCCCATCTGGGCTGGCCATCGGGATGCTACTCTCACTAACTTCGGCCACTCCCAAGCTCAACGATTGGGAGATTCACTCAAGGACGAAGACTTCGATCGTTGAGTCTTCATCCCCCCCTGCTCATAAAAAATCAAAACTGATGACTTTCACATTCATAAAACAGGCATCTTTTGTTCGGATCTCAAACGAGCTCATCTGACAGCCAATCAGATCCGAATACAGAATCTCAAGAACCCTGTAATCACTCCATCAACCGATCAAAGCAGCAAAGATGAGGAATCGAATGACCAAGGAACCGCGAAGAAAAAGAGCGACTTAGTCGTCCTTCCATTGATCCGGGAACAGAACTTCGGCGAGGCGGAGGGGGAGCGATGGGATACGGGCCGATGCACCTACGAAGGATTCTATTCGAACAAAGCCTTGAAGTTCAAGGACGGCGAGAGTCGAGACGACGTGTATGAGCGGGCAGCCAAGTTCCACAAGGAAGTGATCATCCCAGAATGGAGCTCGATCCTCTCCAACGACCAGCCAACCAAGCACAAAGCCGTCCACTTCTGCATCGTCTCCCATGGGATCTTCCTCTCCGAACTGATCGCCTATCTCAAAGCTTTCGTCGAACCATCAGGAGGATCATCCAACCCGGAACATTTCTCGAATACCGGCTGGGAACGCATCAACCTCACCTGGAACTGGACCGCCGACCATCATCAACCACTCGAACTCGTCTCGCTCAAGAAACTTCACTCTAACGTCACCCAGCATCTCACTGGGCTTAAACGCCAGCCGGGAGGAATCGGGAACGCGCCTTGGGACCCTAATCAATCTAAATTGGACGCCTTCTTCTCCATCTCCCCCAAAAAATAATCATCTGTTTCCCTTTTTCAAATCCTTAGGAAATCAATAACAAGCATCCCAAAAAGAAAAAAAAAGCAACCACCCATTCATATTACCATGCAACAAACTATTTCTCTCGCATTCTAGAGTGTATCTATATAGATATTCATCATCCCAGTCTTTCTTTCGCTGAATCGGATTGGTATAGACCATCTTATTCTCCATCCCACGTTGTGCTCCTTCTTACTCCACATTCAAGCCATACAAGCATCATGCGTCTCTCATAGGGCGTGACAGAGAAGTCAAACCTTGCTTGCAGTATCTTTTGATCATCAAAACATGAAAAAAAATCATTAGTAGTAGGTCACCAATGCAGATATTGGATAACTTGACCCAGTCAAGATCTGCCGGGCCTCCCAGGATTACTCCATGATGTTAAGCTTCCAGAAGCTAGATTTTCCGTGCCAAATCTTAGCCTTTTTTTGGGGGGCTAAAAGAGACATCTGTGAGGGCACAAGATGATCCAACTGGATTGAGGCCTCCATGATACCAGGCTAGATGACTTTTAAATACACACATAAACTGATTTGTGAAGATGTTGACTTATCTATATGTAATTGATTATGGAAGGAAGAGTGTTGTGCTAAATGGGTTGTTATTAATTTCAGCTTTGGGAGGAACTGGCCTGGAGGGAGATCTAGGAGATCCATTGACAATCACAATCAGCATCCAAGGGTGAAACAAAAGAAGAGCCAAAAAAACAAAAGATCTTGTGGATTACATATTGTGTTTCCAAGAAAGCTTGGATCGGTTTGCTTTTTGAATTTTTTGTAATCCTTTGAATTTGATTTTGCTAATCCCATATTTTCATTTTCTCAGTTGGGTTTTATCTTGACAGATGTCAGATAACACCCAGGGATAAAGCCACCTCTGGAGCCATGTTGCTCCAGTAGATGCTCTTGGAGGAGAATTAAGAAAAAATGAGGTTCATATTTGGAACCGGAGCAGTTTGTAGGTCCAACAAGCCGCTCACTGGGACCATTGGTCACTCCCTTCTGCCCCATCAGTGATGCCGACCAAGCACTGGACCATTGCATGTGCTGAGAAAAAAGTTGAAAGCCCTGGGACACCTGAGTCGGAAACATATGGTGTTGCAAGCCAGTCTGGGCACTGGCCCAAGGCCCGTGTGTCCAAGTGTCACCGGGGCTTGGGCCAGTGCCCAGGGGGCTTGAGTTGGAAGTTCCCACATGGCCCGGATCTTGGCACAAGCCCAAGTCTGGCTTGGCCAAACCCAAGCTCTGGGCTCACCAGATCACCCACTAACCACCAACCACAAAACCCGACCCAACCACCACACCCAACACCAACCAACACCACTTGTTGGTTTTGGCCCGCGTGGCACTCTTGCTTGGGCTCGGCCAAGCAAGACTTTGGTCTGACCCACCCCAACTTTGGGAGGTGCCAAGCCAGGCTTGGGTATAGGCCAAGTTGGGTTTAGAGGGTGCCACACGGGGTTTGGGATCAGCCAAGCCCGCTTGGCCTCTTTTTCGCCCAACTTGTGCTAGTGCCCAGACTGGCTTGCAACACCATATTTGAAATTAATAAAGCAGAAAGGTAAAATCCATAAATTGCAAGGATTACAAAAAATTCAAAAAGCAAACCGATCCAAGGTTTCTTGCAAACACGATATGTGTTGAAATTCCATGTGATCCTCTTGTGACAGTTGTCCACAGCAACTTAGCCAACTCTAATTATCATTATCCATAACCTAATCTCCTCTCAATTCCCAATCACTTCTCATTCCTGTTCCACTTCCACCATTCTCATTTTTTCCTCCTGTTCATCTGCCATTCACTCAGCTTCATTTCCTTCTCCATCCTCTCTCTCTCTCTAAACTTTACCACCCTCACCTCTCAATCTAATCCCTTCAATCTATTGACTTTGTCGAGATCCTCATATCTATCAACTTTGGCAAGCTCTCCCTCAAATCAACATCTTCTTCTCTTGTCAACTTTGCCAAGCTTCTCAAATATTGAATCACATAGTTTGAATCAATTTGGTGAGAAATACACCACAATCTTTAATCATCTCATCAAATGATCTCCATTGCTAACCACATTTTCTTTGTGTGTGTTCTCTTCCTTTCTTTATCACTTCCTCAGTCATTCTCAACATTCACTTTGCTCTGTTGCAGTAAATTTATATTATAGTCTTTTTTGATGCTGATTCTTTTCTCCTCTTGTTCAAGAAGCTTATAATATTATTGTTTTAAGTCTGTTTTTTTTTCCTAAGCAATTTACTCAGAGTTTTCACATTATATATGAAAGCCAACTTGAAACGTTTTGGGTAGCTCAGAACAAAACAAGAGTTTTTGTCTTTGGTATCAATATCATCCAGATTCCCGCAGATCAAAAACTGTCTTTTTTTTGGTAGATTGCTGATGCAGGTTTTCACATCCAGGAATATACAACTCTGGTGGACAAGATTTTGGAAGTCCATGCCAAGTGTATATAGATGTAACCTTGATTGATTGGATCTGCATAGTCTACATGATCATATAATCCAAAGCTGGCTTAAGTATTTGAAGATTGTCCTGGAATCATATGTTCAATTTACCTTTTGTTTTGTGGAATCAAGGATAGGTTTATGAGGTCTTTGGGATCCAGTTATTGGAAATTTATGTGTTTGTGAATATGATTGATCATCCACTTTGTTGGCTGTCTTTGCTGAACATGTGGTGGATCCCCGCTTTCATCTTTGACTTCTTAAAACTTAAATTGTGTGGTGCCATTCCAATGTGAACTTCCCTTCCTTCTTGATCATCTACACCGAATTGTTTGAAAACAAGCATTTCTTTACATCTGTTAAAAAGATCCATAAGCTCTAGTTGGTTGAACTTGAACCTCTTGTTCTTGATTTCTACATATCTTGAAATATCAGCACTAGTGTAACTGTTCCCACGACCTGAAACATCATCCATGTATGTATATTGCAGGCTATTCAAGATGAGCAATATACCCAAATGGACAAAACTCATCCGTTCTACTTACACACAACTGTTCACACGCCTCAGTGAAGCCGTGTGAACAATCTTACTGTGAGTGCCCATGACAGGATCCAGGAAAACCCGTCTATAAACGTCAGTAACATAAATTCCTGGGTTTTTGGTAAATTCATACATTGGGGGGGGGGGGGGGAACCGGGGAGTGGAATTTTCAGGGCCATTCATACATCTTTTGTGCATATGCTTGCGGAAAAATCCCCCCAAAAAACTGGGGACTACTCGACATTTTGGCCCATTTTGCTCAACATTGAGAGCCAATTTTCATGCATTCAACTTCAAGCTCTGTTTTGTGCATGAAACTTTTGCCGACCAAACCAATTGATAGTCATACCATTTTTGTGTGTATGATTTGTGTGTGTGATTTTTTTTGTTGAAAAAAATACACACATTCACGTTACTGACATGCTTTGGGGGTTTCCTGGGTCCCACATGACTCGGCCTACTCAATCAGGATTATGATTGGGCCCTCATGTTTGTTAAGTATTTTGGCTTGGACAATGATACCCCCCCCCCCTCCTTTCAATGGTTATTCTAAGCGGAGATAGCAATACTTGAGAGCACATCGGACGTGTATCCAAACATCTACAATTTTTTTATACATGTGAAGCCCACAGGATTAAATCAGTTCAATCTATTGACTGACTTAACTGACACTCTCAGGATGGATTGGATTTGAAATGTTATGTTGAGGTGACTTGTTAGTCTATAATAAGTGTAGATTTGAATTTCGCACAACCGCAACTGGATGACATGGTCTACATAAATCGTGAAAGGTAATCAATATGAGAGATAATCCACATGGAATGATCTGAAAAATTGTGCAAGTAAAAAAAAAAAAAAAAAGAGGAAGATCTAAAATTGTTACAGTCCACGACTCATGACAGCAGATGATATTTTATCCAGGAAACAGTTTCAGAAGAATACAGGCAGGTTGAAGTCAAGAATTTAAGTTAGACAGGTCGGATCATTTATCAGATTACAGGATCCGAGCGGCGATGGGAACAGGGATGACGACATCCATCCAGGTCCACATGTGGGGGGGCCGGTACTGATTGAACATGCCCGCGGGCCGACAGATATCACGCGTGAAGAGTGGGGCGGTGAGGAGCAAGAAGGCGGCCGTCCAGAGCTTGGCGCCCCCAAGTCTTCTGGGGACGTAGGGGATGATCAATGGCTCGAGGATGACGCCGAATGATTGGAGGAAGAAGAAGAGGAAGCTGGCTGGCAAGGTCTCGAATAAGGCTCGAGGGTATGGATGCGGCGCCCGTTGAAAGGCGTACATCGCTAGAATGGGTGACATCAATCCTCATTAGTGTTTTAGATCAAGACATCAGCCAGCCCTTTCGGGGCAGATCTTGATGGGACTACTCACGATATTCATGGAACAGTCCACTAAGCGCAAAGACACCCATGACTCCCGAGATCTTTTGGACATTTGCCGATCCGCCCAAGGCTCTAGCGATCGACATTGCCGGTTTGCCGCCACAGAAGAGAAAGGGCCGCCGGAACTTCTGGTGCCACGACTTTCCCCAGAAATGGGCCAGAGAGGAGAGCTCGAACAGGGAGCCGAACTGGGGAGGAAAGTTCGCCGGATTGGCCAGCTCGACGAGCTTGGACGGGAGGCCGATCCTCTTGGCCGCCGGGTACAAGAGATAGGTCGAGAGCACCGGGAGCGCACTGATCATCTCGATCGAGCAGCTGATCACAAACATCGTGCAGGCCGAATGTATCCCGCCGGCCAACAGGCCGAGCCCGCGAAAAGAGGGGACTCCCAAGCTAAGGAGCGGCTTGCGTGGGTCGAAATCATAAGAGTCCCAGTCTTGCGAATAAAGCACAAACCCGAGACACGGGAGAAGTACCAGTTGGAGTCGGACGATTTCCAGGAGCGCCTGGAGGAACGAATTCTCGTTCCCTTTGGCCGCTGGGCCCCATGACCATCTAAATCCGCGTTGGCTGATTTGAGTAAGATCGATGGAGAGAGAGAGTGGTTAGTCAGCCCCATCACTGATACATCATGGCTCTGAAGAGACATTCAGGGGATCATGACAACGTACGAGGTGAATTGCAGAGTCGTCCACAGCGCAAGGTCGGCCAGATTGTTAGACTGACTGTTCTCAGAAGAGATCTTGGTAGTAGACTCTTTCTCCCAAACCGGAGTCCCGTCGACGATTTTGAGAGTGCGGATGTGGTAAGGGCCGGGGGAGAAGGTCCATTCGAGGGATTTGAAGACCATGATGGCGGCGAGAAATCCAGGGAAGATGTTGCGGTCTTGGAAGGGCAGGAGCGGGAGCCGGAACGGATAGCAGAGCCACCATCCGATGATCGGCGGGCCCAACGATAGACGGCTCAGTCGGGCAGAGGATGAGTGTTGGAATTGGGGATGAAGAAGAGCACATTGGACTACCATCAGGCTGAGAAACAAGACTTTCTCAAACAGCCATCTCGTTAGTACTCCTTGTGCTGGTTGGCTTGTTCCCCAACTCGAGGAGGTTTGGTTTGAGGTGAACCAAGGGGTGGAGGATGTGAAGCTTTGCATAGAGAGTATAAGGGTTGTGTTGTTGATGGTTTCCATCTTGGCACCAAATCAGTCGTCAGTTCTGGGATTCTCTCCCTTCAGACTTTCCGGGATGGGGCGATAGGTATTGTTCTACTAAGATTTCTGGATAGGAGAAGCAAATCGGAGCTGGTCCCTTAAATAGACCCAAGGAATTGTTTGGGGCATTCAGGATCCCAAAAGCACGTCTGTATCTTTCTCTTTTTTTTTGATTGATTGATTGCGGGGTGGCAGAGGGCATGGAACACACGACGGACTACGAAGCTTGGTTGCGACGGATCATCGAACCAAGCACTCTCCACTTGTAAAAGGGTACCTCATACACGGCGATGACGGAGACAGCAACCAGTTCGAACCGGCCGGCGCAAACGACGGGGAAGCGCACTTGGGCCAAACCGGGGACTGTTCATGAGTCTGATTATGATGATTGGGTGGGTTAATGACTAATGGATATCTATAAAGGCTGAGAGAAGCCTGGGAAGCTGCTGGAGATAAGATCAACTCCGAATCCGATAAGGCAAACAGACACCGAATCGAAATCGCTCGCTTCTCCCTCCGGCCGAAGCCTTCGAAAGCTGCCCATCGTCATTGCAAGCTCAAGAGGGGACATCCGGCCTACTATCTTGCTCCTATATCCGCCGTCTCCACTGTCCTGAAGAGTGAGCTACCGTTGCCCGCATACATACATATTTATATGCTGGCTTATGTACCTTATAAATCATGGACTTTGCTTTTTTTTTTGGCCAGCTTGACTCCAGATCGAAGCACACCGTCTGTGTCGTCCCTGCATATAGAATGTGCTTGGCCGTCGATATGAGATCTCCGGATCCAATGGGGATTGGAAAAATATGTATGTAAATATGTAGCGAGTGGAGTAGCTGGGGAGAGAACATGGCTTTCCAAAACGTGCCGGCTTTAAACTGCAGTTAGGATGAGAATGTCCAGTGTTGTAAACAAGTCAGTGTTCATGAGGACTGATGATGATGAAGGGGGGGTTCTTGGGTTTCTCACAAACTTGGAGGGGATTAAAATGAGTTTTGCTCTGTTTGTTTCTCGATGATGATGATGTTGACCGGCTCATGATCAAGGGACACCAGCTCGATGAAGTGGTAATACATATATCGCCGAGACCAGGATCATTTCCCCAAGCGAATGGGGTCGCCTCAATACCTCCAACACTCAGACTCAGATTTTGTTTGTTTTTGATGGTGCTGTTCACTTTCAACACTACCTCATATCCAGTACTGGATATGGAGTAAAAAAAACTGGATATTCAGTGTTTTTTTTTAAAAAAAAAAAAGTGGTGTGAAGAGGTGAACAAAAAAAAATATAAAAATACTAAATATCCAGGTTTATTTTACTGCACATCCAGTGCGGGATATGAAGTTATGTTTCGAGTGGTTGCTCTTCCTTTTCTGGATTATTTTTACAAAATCATCGTGGCAATGTCCGACTTTTGAAAAGCAAAAACAAAAAAAACAAAAAATGATGACTAAGTATGTAGCATTTGATCGGGAGCCCTGAAGAACACCTCACCCAGAACCAACAAGATAGGAAACATGGCCTCCATCCACTTTATCTTCTCCGTCCTTTGGATTATCATCAGTGCAGTAAGTCTTCAACACTCTCCCTATCTATCTATCTGCATCCAAATCATCCTTATTAATCCTTCGCCTCCGAAAACAAAAGTTCTCCTATGGTTATCACATCTCTGCCTTGAACGGAGCCCAGGATGTGATCACCTGCAGGTCAAACAGCTCTCTTCCCTCCGACCAAACCGTCTATCCATCCCTCTCGCTCCTCACCCCATGTATCGCCATGTCCGACAATCGATTCGGCTTCCTGACTGCCTCCTACACCATCGGCGGCTTCCTCGGCTCGGTCTATGCCTCCAAACTAGCTCGATCTCGCGGCAAGCGGAACACGTTATTGCTCTCGGCCATCTCCATCGGAATCGGCTCCCTTCTGATGTCGCTCTCCAACTTCTTCTCGATGATCCTCATCGGCCGGACGATCATCGGAATCGGCTGTGGAATCAACACCGTCCTCGTGCCCATCTACCTCTCTGAGATCTCCCCCAGCCAGATCCGTGGCTCGGTCGGGGTGATGAACCAGTTGGCTATCGTCTTTGGCATCTTCGCCTCTCAACTAGTCAGTCTACCGCTCGCAAGACCATTCGCCTGGCGCTGGATCTTCATCATCAGTGCTGCTTTCTCAACCCTACAACTTCTCACCAGCCCACTCGTCCTCAACCAAAAAGATCAACCCTCCTCCTCCCATTCAGATCATCCAGCTCATCACCCACTCGATCGAGAATCAGACTCAAACCCAGTCATCCACCATTCCACTCACGACGACGACAACGACAACGACAACGACTTCGAACGAGAGACCCTCTTGAATCCAGCCAACACAATTCACCAACCCATCTCCAATCCAGCTCATCAACAGCTTCCTCAAAACAATCAATCCACCATCCATCCCCTCTCCGTCTCGCAGCTACTACTCAAGCATTGGAAACAAGATCCAGCTCTAGCTAATGGATTGAAAGTTCTCCTGATCACCCAACTCGCCCAACAACTCTCAGGAATCAAGTTGAGTCAATCTTCAACACACGCACACTCACGCATAGAAAGAGCTGATCATATCTGATCTGCAACAGTGCGGTACTCTACTACTCAACCTCGATCATGAAGTCCGTCCTGCCCACCCAAGCAATCTACATCTCACTCTTCATCACCGCGATCAACGTGCTGATGACCTTTCCGGCGATCTTCTTGGTCGACAAGCTGGGCCGGAAGTGCTTACTGCTCCTCTCGGCCGGCTCGATGGCCCTCACCTCCCTAGTCCTCGCTCTCTCAATCAACTACGAAATTGCCCAGCTCTCTAGTCTGGCCATCGTGCTCTTTGTCGCCAGCTTTAGCATCGGCCTCGGCCCGATCCCCTTCGTCATCCTCAGCGAACTCGTGCCCCTCTATGCTGTCAGTGCCGCTGGTTCGTTGGGATTGGCCGTCAATTGGGCCTCTAACTTCTTAGTCGTCAGTTCCCCTTCTCCCCCCCCCTTTTTTTTGTTCCCCAAGTCCTTGTTTTTTTTATTTTATACTGACAATTCATTTGATGCAGGGTTTGGTTTTCCTTCCGTTAAGGAATCTGATGGCTTCACCCGATGGAGATGGGGACGGCAACGTGTTTTTCATCTTCACTATCCTAGGATGTCTCTCCACCTTTCTCATCCATCAAAATTATCAGCATCACCATCATCAGTAATAGTAGTAATAGTAGTAGTAATAATAGTGTTATGTTTCTTACGGGATTCCTTTAGCGCTATAGATTTAAATCCTTGTTTTGCTTCATGTTATTTATCAGCTTTTCGTATTTTTTTTGTATTTTTTTTTGATTCTTACAGTTGGCTTACCAATCCTGCCTTTCTTGTTCTTGTTCTTTGCAATGTATGTACACTTATCTGTTGTTTTTTCTTATGTATATATATATATATATATATATGCAACACAACCTATCTGGATGATAGACAAAATGTCACCAAGGTGATTTGGTTTTCTGATTTGGTTTTTGAAATCAACAGAGTGCTGCTTGTTGAACACTTCATTTTTGAAATAAATTTCTAATTGATGATTGCTGAGCACATGTGGGTATTCATGCAATGTGCTACTGGAAACTGGTATGCTCTCATCCACCTTGAAAGTCTGTGGTCACCATACCCTTTCTCTTCTTTGATCAAGAAATAGCCCTGTTCACATAGGGTGTTGCTCTCATACTTGGGCTTTCTCCTCATCCTTCCACAAACATCAATCTCATGTCCCAGCTCTAGTCACATCATCAGGATTGGCACAAAGGACTGATAATTCAGATTGAGACAAGATAGACTGTTGTACATAACTGGATGAAGCCAAATATGCTCATGATGTGATGTGTGCTCAACTTCTAACAAATAGCCCTAGTTTTACATACACACTGAAATTTCCTCTATCCTATCATTAGTGGAAGAAGATCCAAATATGCTAGATATATATGCTGATTAGCTAAGCAGCAAGATAAGACTCATGATGATCCAATATGAGTAACACCTTGGTCAGGTGTTTTTTTGCTGTGATGAAGGAATAAATTAATTGACTAACAATACATACAGTTATCAGTGTAGTTGGTTGAACTGGACAGACACGCTGAGTGGAGTCAATTGCAGGGAATATTGGATTTTCCATTCTTCTAGGACAGTAAATCTCGGGGAGGCCACCATTCCGGATCTTTGTGCTAGCTGATCGACATGATCAAGCAACACTGTATGAATCTAAATTTCTCAAGATTTCAGCGTTAACTATTTATGTAGTTGCATCTTCCTTGCTTGCTTGTGTTGGTGTGCTTGTTAGACCGACGGGCAGCATGGTCGTCGAGAGCATTTACAAGCACTAGGGTTACGTGTGAGCGATAAAAAGGAAGGGTCAAACAAATCACCGAAACCGGTTCGTTTGGTTGATTGTTGTCCTCTTTTCCTTCATTGATCAAAGTAACCAGTATCGATTAAAGTGAGTGATGGTGTGAGTGCAAAGGATTGGATAGTTCTCTCAGATGTGTATATTGCTTGTGTATGGGTTCAAGAAGAAGAAGAAGAAGAAGGTTGCAAGGTTGTATCCCATCTTGAGATTGTGGCGTGATGATGATCAGTGGTTTCGATGAGCTTCGAAAGGATATTTGATAGTTGTTAATGGCTGAGACCTTCCCCCTGCGTCTGGCAGTCTGGTGCTGGTTCCCCCCTGGGGGGTTGCTTCATTCCCCTACTGTTCCCTCGAGGTTCTTCCCTCCTTGACAACCCCCCTGCCCTAGCCTGCTACTACTACACCACCACCTTCAACTCACTGGATAAAACAACACTCTTCTTCTTCTTCATCTTCTTCTTCCTCAAAAAATAAGTAATCATCAACAATGGCAGCCGATCGAACAAGCTCACCCATCCTACCTCCACCCACATCATCATCAGCCGAGGAGAAACATATATCACCTCATACCGTCTTCGATGTCGACGATAACAACGACGACGATGACCATCAGCCCTCAAACTCACTACTCAACCACACTCCAACCCCAACAAAACCTGCACCAGCACTCCATCCAGCTATCATCATTGGGTCAGTCTTTTTTTTCTTTCTCTCTTGAAATCCAGAGCTGAGAGAATACTAAATCATCCTGTTTTGTTTTTTTTTCCCTGGATATAGTATCTGGATTACCCTGTCCTCATCAGTGATCATCTACAACAAATACATCCTCTCAGATCTCCACTTCGGCTACCCGATCTCACTCACCACCTGGCATCTCACCTTTGCCACCATCGGCACCCGAATCCTTGCCAAGACCTCCCATCTGCTCGACGGATTATCCCAGATCACGATGTCCTGGGATCGTTGGTTTAGATCGATCTTGCCTATCGGCGCCCTCTTCAGCGCCAGCTTGATCTTCAGCAATATGGCTTACCTCACCCTCAGTGTCTCATTCATCCAAATGTAATCCACCCCCCCCCCCGCCCCTGCAAAACTCCAAAATAACAAAAACTGATTGAATTTGGTCACCATTATAGGTTAAAGGCATTTACTTCAGTAGCAGTTCTAGCCATCTCAATCGTCATGGGACTAGAAAAGGCCAACAAACGGACCATGTTGATCGTCCTCTTGATCTCACTCGGCGTAGCGATCGCTTCAGTAGGCGAACTAGAGTTTGCGATGAGCGGGTTTATCTGTCAGACCTTGGGGATCCTATTCGAAGCTACTCGATTAGTGACCATCCAGAAACTGTTGCATGGGATGAAGATGGATCCTTTAGTCTCGTCTGTCTTCTCTCTCTATCCAAAAATCATCCCCCCCCCTCCCTGGGTTTCATGGCCTGACTAGATTTGTTTGGTCATCAGGTTATACTATTTTGCGCCGGTTTGTGCGACGTTGAATGCGATCCTGATACCGGTGTACGAAGGAACGGCGCCATTCAAGGAAGCGATGGGCACGCTCGGCCCGATGATCCTGATCACCAATGCATCAGTAGCCTTTGCGTTGAATGTCGCAGTCGTCTTCTTGATCGGTTCGGCCTCCTCATTGGTCTTGACCCTCAGTGGCGTCCTCAAGGACGTCCTCCTCGTCCTCGGCTCCGTCTTCCTTCTCGGCTCCACCGTCACGTTCATCCAACTCGCTGGATACTCGCTCGCTCTTGCTGGCTTGGTCGCTTTCAAAACTAACCCCGACGTCCTCGACGATCGGATTCGTAGACTTCGTAGAGCGTTCGGTAAAGCTTGAACTTACATCCCCCCTCCCCTCTTTTTATCCTTCCCCTCCCCATCAATTCACCCTTTTTTTTCTTTTTCTTTTTCTTTTTCGTACTTGTTTTTTTTTTTTTCAAACATAAAACTCTGTGTCTTCTTCTTCTTTTCTTTTTTTTGAAAGAAAAGAAAAAAACTAAAATGTCGTATATAACTTGGGTACATTGTGTTTCTTTACATATGTTTGTGTGTGTGTGTGTGTATGTCACTTAACCTCATCATCCTACCCCAAAAAAACCCAACACCAAACAAAAGGCAAATAACAAGTATATACATCCATTTTTTTATACATAGTTGAACATCCATTTTTTTCACTTTCCTTCCCCCCTCCCCACACACACACACAAAACCAACACTTCTTTTTCTCTCTCTCTCTATATATATATACATCTCTTTTCTCTATCCCACATCCATAGACTACTTTCCTTTCCCTTTTCTTTCTTTCTTTCTAACTTCATTTTTGATCATCACATTTTTGGTTTCTCTTTCTTATCCTAAAAAAAGTGGTCCTAGTTTGTTCTTTTTTTTTGTTTGCCTGTTTTTTTTTTTCCTCTCTGATCTTGTTCTTTTTTTTTTTTTTTTTTCTTTCTTTGGTCAGAAATAAAGCCAATATTCTTAACATAATTTCCACTTTCCTTGATCACACATAGCATCCTTTTTTTTTGGCCAAGTTTTGACCCTTGATACAAATGCAGCCTAATTATGTTGTGCATACATTGATAGATGCCTCTTTTGAAAGAGGTGAAGTTCTATTCTCTGTAAGTTCACATGTGTACAACCATTTAGACAGCCATGACAAGATTCTAAAAGATCTCTAGTCTTGATGAAATCCAAGGACTTTTTGATCTATTAACTCCAGGCTATGTGTCTATCTGTCCAGAGGTCTATAAGATTGTGTATGTCTGAGTTGTATCCAAGATCAGGTTAAAACTGTTCAGAAGACTGAGGCTCCGTCTGGCAGCAATATATTGCAAATTCTTGTGACATCTCATGATCAGGTTTTGGGACACCTGATTTGGATTAGATGTCTCATGGGATATGAGGCAAAATAAATAGCAATATGTATTGCTACCAAACAAGACCTGAACTGTCAGATGGTGATCAACATAATAGGGGGGTGCATGATAGCTTCTTGCAAGAAGCGATTTTTTCTTGCACAAGAAGCCGCAGCACTGCTGCAGGCTTAAAATTTAGTGCGGAACCTAACATTTTTGCTGAATAAAATTGATGTCAGCAATGTGCAAGCAAGTAAAAAAAAAAAAAAAAAAAAAACGGGTGTGAGAAGCAAAAAACACTATTGTGAACCCCGCTAATATTATTGGGGAGTTCCCCAAGATTGGAATGTCTCTCTCTCTCAACTCTGGAAGGAGCTTATTCAGGACAAAATTTGGGTAATAAGTGAGAAGTCTCCTGCCAAAAAGAAGGCAATCTGGGTATCCCAATTTGTACTAGAAGGAGATCAATAGTTGGATTTGAATGTGGGGTATGTGTAGAACTAAAGATTGTTCTGTGGTACCCTTTGCTAAGTACCTTAGTATTATCGCTTTGCGGGTGGGACCCCCTGCCAGGCGGTGCCAGCAACGGTGGGCCAGCTACGCTAACCGTAGCGTAGTGTAGCGAAAAACCGCTACAATTTAGCGTAGCGTTAGCGCTTTTCTCATTTTCCGCGCTAACGCTACGCGAATGGGGAAAAAACTTGCGCTAGCGTTTAGCGTAGCGTTAGCGCGATTCCCCCCATCTGCGCTAATGCTACGCACGCAGGGCGCAAAAAACCGCTGTGGAACTCCTATCGTGCCAGGCGGTAGGCAGTTGGTTGAAGGGAAAGTGCTTTGAGGGCTGCCTTCAAGTGGGGTCCGGATAAATTGAGCTGTGATCTGAACAAGAAATGTGTTGGGGTTGGTTGGTTTTCTGAGAGGAGACAACAGAAATTGAGTTCTGTGGCGGTTGTTGAGCTTGAGGATCGGTGGGTGTGAGGATCAGATGAATGAATGATAAAAAGATCAATAAGAATTGATGGGTCTATCTTGGATCAGATCAGAGTGCCATGCTTCCCCATCATCTCAGTTCAAACTGAACTTTGACTCTGGGGAGTGACATGTCACAGACATGTCATCACATCCAACGCTGGGCCGCTACACTAACCGTAGCGGTTAGTGTAGCGTAAGAGCATCATTATCGGTCGCTAAGTTAGCTTGAGTTAAGCCACTTACCACCAAACTTCAACCGCACCCGACCGAGCTAAGTTGGTGATAACTTGCCTCGATGGTCCGTTTTCAGCTAACCGTTGGTAACTGTAGCAATGGTTACCAACGTAGTTAGCGAGTGCGATCACTCCAACTTGGAGTCCACCCGCCCACACTACACACCACCACTCCAAATCACACCCGGCAAACTACACCGGTGCAACTGAATGGGGGTCAATAAGTTAACTTGCCAATTCATGCGAGTTAAAACTCGCGTCAACTTATCGAACCGATAATGATGCTCTAACGCAGCTGAATCGCTGTTAGCGATTAGCGTAGCGTAGCGGAATTCCGCCACGACACCGCTAACGCTACGCGTGTGGGCCGCAAAAAAGGGCCCACTACGCTGCGCTACAGCAGTTTTTAGCGGTTTTTGGCCGCTTTTTCCGCTAAAAGCGCTGTAGCGCAGCGTAGCGTAGCGAAAACCCGCTAAAAAACCGCTAACACTACGGTTTTTCAATGAAAAAAAAGCGCCGCTACGCTACGCTTTTTGGGCCAAAAGCGTAGCGGCCCACCACTGTCACATCCCTAACTACAACACCAATCAACCAGAAACAAAAACAACACAACACAACACAACACAACACAACACAGAACAGAAGAAGAACACAGAATAGAACAAACAAACAAGATCAGAATAAACCAACATGAATGAAACTATGTCTTAGGACCAAGAAATAAGAAACAACACTGTCTTCTGAGTAAATGATTTGAAAAGATAAGTAAGAATAATAAAATGATAAAAAATAAAAATAAAATAAAATCAAGATGAATAAAAAATAACATGAAGAGTAAATAATAAGAGGAAATGGAATAAAATAATAAAATGAGGAAACCATTGGACTGAGTGGGGATTTGAGGTGATAATATTGAAATATTGAGTCTTGAGGATATTGAAAATTTGAAAGTTGAATTCTGAAATTGGACCTTGAGGGGGCCTGTACCGTTTAGAACACCACATCTCTCCACCACTTGCAGTCTGTCCCTAGACTGCTCTTCTCTTCTCCTACCCTTGAAACCTAAATTAAAAGACAAAGAAAAAAACAAACCAGGGGCCCATCCAGGTGCTCACAAATGTGGCATAAAGTAGAGTTTTTACAAAACGGTAGTAAATACCCTAGAGATGCATACATTGGGAGGACTTACTTTTGGTCAACTTTGCCTCCTCGGGGAAAAAACCTCTTGACCTGATCTGCTGAGAAGCGCCGTGTATTAAAACTTTGACTGTTTATTTCTTAAGAAAAAAGAACCAGAATCTAGAGACAAGAGATTAGAAGAAGGAAATCAAAATAGAAAAGAATAAAAGCATGAAACTAACCCTGTAGCAGATAGATTTTATCCAAGACAGACAACATATGATTTTGAGATGGAAAAGAGAATATAAGACTGATAGAAGAATGTGATGATCAGTCTATTGAAGTTTAGCAGATAAAGGGAAACAGAAAGAGAAACAAACCCCAGTGATTTAAGTGATATAGACTTAGATATAGAAAGAAGTGAGAAGCAAAAGAAGATCTGGAAAGAATAACTAATAATGATAAAAGAAGGAGTTAGTCAATTGATTGAGAGATGAAGAGAATAAGAAATGCTTGTGGAGCATTTCTCACCAAGTTGGAAGCTACAAAGGCTGTCCAATGTTAAAGCTTCGCCGTAACTTGTTGACGGTTGAGAATGAGGTGGATTGATCTTGATCCTTAGGAGTGTTGAGTGGTGAGCGGTGTAGCGATGATTGATGAGTTTAATGATGGTTGATGAGGAAGAGTGAAGAGCGGTTGAACCGGATGAGAGGAGTGGAAGAGGTGGAATTCGTAATTGGGTTAGGTTTGCTGGGACAGTCTTTGTTTCACAGGAGTGTCACAAGACATGTCTTGTGCTCGAGTTTCAACACCGTGCAATTTCCGTGCCATCTAACTCCTCCAGAACATATGATCCACCTTGAACTTGACGAACCACACAATAAGGACCATTCCATCGATTTAAGAAAAGCTTTCCCCACTGAGATTTGAGAGACCGATTATAAGCCAGAACCAGCTCGCCTGGTTTCAAAGGATTCCTGATTCAATCTGATTTCTTATCTTCCCAGTATTGAACAGACTCTTCACGGGCCTTCACAATCTTTTGGTAAGAAACTCCTTGTGTTTCTTCACTACGTTCCAGCTGTTGAGATCGTGAAACTAAAAGGTCGGCTGTGTCTTCTACTTCCTCCCAATCAATACCAAGGTAAGACTCCATTTCAAGATCAATAGGAAGAACTGCTCGCTGTCCAAAGACAAGTTCGTAGGGGGAATATCCAGTGGTTCTTTTGGTTGAAATCCGGTCGGCAAACAAAACAAGAGGCAGAAACTTTCGACAATTCTTCCCACTTTCACCAGCAAGCTTGACCAGCGCTGACTTGAGAGGTTTATGACCACGCTCGACCATTCCTTGACCTTCAGGATAATACCGAGTTGAAACACGGTGTTGACCTGGCATTGAACGTAACATCTCGGCTAGCTTGCCTCCGAATTCAGATCCTCCATCAGTGGAATACGAACGAGCTAGACCATACCGCATCGTCCAATTTTCATGAAGGAATGAAGCAACTGATTCAGAACTGAGATTATTGAGAAATTTGGCTTCAACCCAACCAGAGAAATCGTCCCGAGCAACAATCAGATACTTGGCACCGCTAGCTTTGATGTGAACTGCATCCATTGCCACACTTCCAAAAACAGTCGACTCGCCAGTAGGATAACGAACTTCCATCGGACGGCGTAGATCCCGCTTCTGACAAGCTTCACAACTCTTGCACCACTTAGCGACTGACTTTTTCAATGAGGGCCACCAAAAACGCTCTGAGACTCTCCGATAAGTTTCAATTTCTCCACAATGACCAAGTTCCTCATGCAGCTTCTCAAGAACAAAATCCTGTTTAGCCGGAATGGTGATGACAATGCAAGCACAAGGACTTCCACGCTTCATGAGCCTTCCCAACTGAACAAAGGAATCCACAGACTTTTGCTTGAATGCTTGGAATTCCTTAGAGTTGAAGCCTTCAGGTTGCAACAACATCTTCAAATGGTCTTCCATCTGTTGCCAGTAACCTTCTTGGTATCCCGAGTAATCTCCACAAGGGCCTGCAGAATAAGACTTCAATGGCTTGATGTTTGGAATTTCTTCATCAAAATTGGAGGGCGGATCAGATTCGTCATCGCCACGTGGCCGCCGAGAAAGACCATCTGGCATAGTGAAAGATTTTCCGGGTCGGTGAACAATATCAAAAGAAAAGAGCTGAATAAAGGCAACCCAACGTGTCATCGGTGCATTTGGGAGACTGGGGGAATTGATCATTTGAATTAGGGAATGTGCATCAACTTGAAGCTCAAAGTGCTGGCCCCATAAGATTGTCTGGAGTTTCTTCAAGATCCGGGATACACCACAA